GTGCAGCTCAGAGAGGCCAAGTGCCTTTCCCTCAAGTCACACAATGGCTGGGAAGCTGATGGCCAGGATTTGGGTTCAGGGCCTCTGACACTGCACCAAACTGCTCCTTTCCAAGCTGCTCTGTGGACCCTTTTGACTAGGGCAACCTAGAGTCATTTGTCTAACCAGGTCACCTTTGAGAGTGAAAGGAAGTGCTATTAATAATTACACTGGGACAGCAGGCCTTATCTGGGACTGTCCTGGACAAACCAGGAAGTATGGACATCCTGCCTCAGTGGGCGGCTTTGGGCAAGTCACTCCACTTCTCCCGCAAAGGGACGTGAGGGCAGTCAGTCCCTACGGGGCTCTCATGAGGATTAAATGTAATGATGCACGTTAAGAGGCTGTAGAGACAGGTATGCGTTAGATGTTCAATAAATGCCGGTTATTACTACTGCCTTTAGTAGACCCTGCCTTCGTCCCTGTCCTTCCAGTCTGTTCTGTGCTCAGGCAAGAGCTTCCAAATACACACCTGATTACCCTGCCGGCTGGCTCCCCATCCCTGCTTCAGTGAGGCTGGACACCTGGCCCAAGGTTAAGCCTACAAGATCTGGCCTGGTTCTCTCCCAGCCCTTGACTGTGCCCTCTACCCACCGGTTCCTGCCTCTCAGGGTCAGCCTCCCCTACCCCTCGCCCATGCTCTGCTGTGCCTCTGAGACTCTTCCCAACTCTCCCTGGCACGGAGCCTGACCCCAGGAAAGAGTTCAGACTGACTGCGGTCCAATCCCACCGCTGTGCCACTGCAGCAAGCGCTGGAATGCCCTGTGCCTCGGTTTCCCCATTTTTCCAGCTGTGCAAATAACTCCCTCCCTTGGTGACCGGCAGGAGGATTCAGGAAGCCAATGAAAAAGGCGTAGCTCTCTGTGAGCAAAACCTTGTCTCCTCTACCTGTGTGTAAACATGTCTCCTCATCCCCAGCCAGGTCAGGGGTCAGACCTTTTCCTCCAACCACACCAGCCTCCTCCACGCAGATCCTTGCCTCTGAGCCATCGCTGTATTGTCTCCTGCCAGATGTGTACTTCCGCTGCCTTTCCCTTTGCCTAGGTGTCCTTTACAACTTAACTCAGGTATCACCTCCCAGAGGAAACTTTGGTGAGCTCCCACCGATCCCTCCCCTGCAAGCTGTGTTAGGAGGTCTCTCCATGCAAGGACAGACCCCGGGAGTCCTGCCAGTCAGACTGAAGCTCACAGTCCCGGGTGAGTATCGGAGGAGGACAAAACATGAGGCAGGAATCAGATCTATCTCCCGGCCTTGAGGATGGCACAGGGTCCTGTACACAGCTGATTCCCTGACCCTCATGGGCAGGGTTGAAAGGTGCTCTTTGAACTCATCCATCTGAGGTGTGATCTCACCTACCTGTTCAACAAGCCTCCTAGGTGCTGACAGAGCAGAGAGCGCTTAATAACATAACATCTGATGCCCGTTTTTATCATTTCATTCTACAGGTAGGAAAACCCAAGGCACAGAAAAGTTAAGTAGCCGCGGGGACAGAACAGGAAGCCAGGCTGTTGGGTTCCAGGGTCCCACGTTCTTGACGTCCACGCCACACCACTCTACCAGTGACCTGCCACGGCCTACACCCCAGTCTGGCTCAAGGCTGTGTCCTGGCACCCGCGAGGCCTGCATAGGATTGAAAAGAATGAAGGGTTGGGAGAAAGGGAGTGGACACCCCAGCTGGAAGAGCGCAAGGTCTAAGCAGGTCTCTCGGGCATTCAAAGCCGACGAGTCAGGCTCCACTGTTCCCCCAAACCCCTGCAGGGAGCAGCTGGAGAGCCCAGGAGCGAGTTATCAAGTCAGAGCGCCCCAGGGCCCCGCGCGGAGCCGGTAGGGGAGGGCTTGGCTGCAGGCGACCCAAGTCGCCTATCCTGGGCAACCCGCACATTCCCCGGCTCCTCCTGCCCCGGACCGCTGGCCTGGCGCCTCCGCCACTCCCCCTCCTGCTCCTGC